TTATAAGTAAGTCTTTACACCTATCTGGGTATAAAGATAACCATGGCTATCCTGGGAAGTATTTTCTAAAAAAGTAAAAACAATTTCCAGTCTAGTTTTACAGTCAATTATTGTTTATTTAATCTGGGAAAAGACTTAAATAGCTTTTTATTTAAGGGAATCATACTAATTGGTTTTCTTTTAATATCCATCACTAAAATGTAGTGGGAAATGTTTGCTGGTAACACAAATGTAATCGTGGAATCAGAATGCCCAAGCAGGTTTCCTTAGGGCCTCCTAAAGCTTATGTACAGATACAGGGCTTAGATGCTGAAAATACTGGAACAGAGGCCAAAGATCGAGGTAACACAACTGTTTACAATACAGGGACACCTGGCTCTTATTTCATTACCCCTTTCCAATTTTCCTCCTTCTATATTTTAAGAAACCAGACTAAATAACATAAATATTATGCTTATTTCAACTCAGTTTCTAAGTTCAAGTGGCCACTTTATAAGCCTCCGGAGGGCAACAATTAGGCTAATGTTATATATTTGGTTAAGAGACCCTACTTAGAAAATAAACTTGTCCCATCAGCAATACAATTTGTTACAAAGTTTCTAGAGACTACAAACTGGAGTCCATTTAACATTACACATGCACAAACTCAGCAAGCTGACAAGGTTATATTTTATAATATTTTAATAACTGGAAAGGGCATTGGCAAAGAAAATCTAGGATCTTGCTAAAAAAATAAAAATAAAGACTTGCCTGAATCTTTTAGAAAATTTCTTGCAAAAACAGACAACCCTTAAATTTACATTCATTAAAGTACATTCAGCACAAGCAAATACAAGTATGCTTTTTGTTGTTTTATCTACAAGCACAAAAATTTTAATGCAAAAGAGCCTCATCCAAGCTGCAGTATGTGACAATTTAGACTGACAAAAGTAACAATCTGAAAATAATTAACCTCCAAAACCCAATTCAAAGCAAAGATTTTTGGGGACTTTGAAGACTACAGTTTGCTATGGTGAATTTTTTTTTTGCCTTACAGTTTAAACCAATAAAAATTGATAATATCTAATTCTATGACATACCCAGAATACTAACCTGGGTAAACACTTAAAATTCCTGAACATCAATCACCATACTTTGTAAGAAAATAATAGTTATGTATAAGCTCTTGTCAACATTTACAAATTATTTCTAAGGCTCAGATGTACACAACTGTAGCTCTCTCCTTGTCTTGGGTAAAATATGAACAACTATAAAAGCATTAATGTTTAGGTTTGGGGTCTCAATAAAGGGGAAATGCTGTATAAACAAAGCAAATACCATTAAAACTTCTCTCATCATCTGAATTCCTCTTCACTTTTCACAAAACCAGCAGTACTTACCTTGTAAAATCACTTGTAATTTCAGTTTGAAAATGTCACCTTCTAGATCCAGACATTATTCACTCTATTAAAAACATTCTTATTTAAACCAAGGGAAAAGATTTCAACCTGGTTTCAACAGACATATCTAACCAGTCACAGTGATACAAAACAATGCAAACTATTTCCTCACACTTATTTTTAATTCAATCTTTTTTTTTAAAAAAATTATTTTTTAGGACACAATACCTTTATTTTATTTATTTATTTTTATGTGGTGCTGAGGACTGAACCCAGGGTCTCACATGCGCTAGGTCACAACCCCAGCCCCTTAATTAAACCTTAAGTAAAAGGAGTTTGGTGTGAGGACTTTAGACTAAAGAGTCTTCAGGAGATGTTTCAGTTTTGAAAATTAAAATTTAGAGCCACAGGTTAAAAAATAAGGAACAAATATATCCCAAGATTAAACAGAAAAACTGTAGAATTTGAAAAGCAATGTGATGGGATAGAATCCAAACTATTCATCTCTTCACAGAGTTAAGTGGATGTCTCAAATACATTGCTTCTAACAAAGTAAATATTCCATCAAATTATTTGTTGGGCCAAAACATTAAAGAGACTGGTTTGGCAAAAACTTAAAATACCCAGTCTACAAATAGGATACACTCCTTAGTTTCTGTATCCTTGATGTAAAGTTTCAAACTAGCCAAAATCCCAAAGAGGGGAGAATACTATACTGTGTTGCTACCAAACATGCAAACATGATACTGTGATCATTTCTAGATTTTAAACTTACACCTCTAAACTTAATAACAACTCAAGTGTTCTTATATTCAGAATTATGAAGGGATGTAAATGTTAGGCTTGCCTTTTTAAAATGTAAGCCATTTTTAATAAATTCTGGAAGAAACTTATCTGGAGATGAAAACAAGATTTTACTTTTTCTTATGGTCTGGCCAGATCAGAGGTCACATGATTTCATTATAAATCAACTTTTGAGATGCATTAAAAAAAAATTTCCAAAGTAGGGATATGGGATACACTGAGCCACAGTTCTAAGCGTAAATACATTCACCCATTCAATATCTGTGACCAAATGGGAGAATAATTTACTCCAAACACAAACCTTAAATCTTTAGGAAAAGAAGAGCTTCTAAAGTCTAAAGAGGGTGGAGGAAAAACAGTACTAGGGAGGTTGGGGTGTTGAACATAGGAGTGGCTGGATGAGACAAAAAAGAGAAAAGATTCCAGCTGATTTGAAGAGATTGGTGTTATTTACATTAGTTTACAATGTTTAACAGCCAAAACCAGAGGTCAATGAAAAAATGAGGCCATTTTTCCCCCAAGGCTTCAGAGATGTCATTTATACTGAACATATCCAAGATTAACCCTGAACATGTTTTTCACTGCTCACTTCCAAAAGGAAAGGCTAGTCAGACTTGACCACTATTGCTTTGCATCACACAAATACGTATATACTACCTACGTGCCGTGCCCACTGACTGGGGCTTGAACAATCAAGTATTACTTTTATATTATGCCATTGAATTTTATAGTTTTGCTAAGCTTATCTTGGCGCTCCAAATGTGTTCCAGGCTTCCAATCATTTAAAGGTTCTAATTGGAAAGGAAACACAAACATACAACAATGTGGAAGTATTTTTTAAATTTCAAAACTTAGAAAATCTATTTTAAAAAGCAAAGGCTCTTATGTAAAAGAGGTACCAATTAACACAACCTTTTTCTACCCTTCTTCATTGTATCAAATACTCATTCGGGTTTGTGAGAAACACCAGAAAGTAAAACTTTCAAATCAAGAGGCACAGTTTCATTTGAGCCGGCTCCGTTTCAAACTGGGACTGATTTCTTCCTTAAATCATTTCCTTCTCCATATATTTACTAGTTAATTCTTTGAACAATTTTTCCCACCTCAGGAGAACGCTATATTTAACTTCTTCAAATATTTTCAACTGGGAACTCTCATCAGAAATAAATCATTTGGTACTCCCTGAAGAGTACAAAGTATCCAGTAATTGGTGTTAATAACTTAACACTTTAAAATCATTTGCTCTTCAGGCCAAGCACCAGGAAGAGTATATCCAAACAGTGTATTCTGGTTGGCAGCAACCACACATAGTCACAAGCCACACTGAAGACTTGTGGGTTAAAATCAAACTTTCTTAGCCCAAGGAAGAGCTTTAAAACAAAAACGCCCTGGTGACGTTAGTCAACAATGTTTTGGGGAAACATCAAAATCTAAAAACCTAATATTTATTTATCTATATGTATAAGCAAGGTCTCATTAGTTCAAACCAAATTAATCAGATTTGGTTTCAAGTTCACTGTCATACAGCAGTTCTCTAAAAATAGTTTCTACTAAACCACCTAAGAAAATCTTTTAAATGTTAAAGAGTTTAATAAGATGTTTAAATAGGATTTACTTGACCAATGGTATTCAGACTTTAAGGCAGCTTTACAAAAAAAAAAAAAATTAACAGTAACAAAGTGTACTAGAAAAACAAATACCAATTCATAACCAACCAACAAAAAAAGCCTGCTCAACTTATCCCTGTAAGTCTCAAAAGATGATTTCTATGATACTTATTACCTTTCTTTCAACAAGTTTTCCTTAAGCTCCAAACGTTTTAGCAAGCCCTCCCCTTTACCGCCATTCGGTGGTTTCCGAATCTCACATCCAAAGCCCCACAGCTAAGCGATGCTGTTTAAGCTTAGAAACCATCTCATTCTCCCAATCTAGGAACGTAATCAACGCCCACCTTTAGGAGATGTAAACAAAGAGTACCAACACGTGGTGGTTCTCGGGATCAGAACGTCCCAAAACAAAGGAAACAACGGCGCCATAAATTGTTGCCTGCCAATTTCTCCTTCACAATCCCATGGGAAAAAAAATCTCCATAAAACAATCTTGGCGAGCTTAAGGTTCCGTTGACTAGGACACCGACGACGGTTTTTGCCCGGAACGCCCCTTCGATACAAGAGCGGCATTCCTTTTAGGCCAAACACAAAGCCCGCACGCCGTCCGCCCAAAACTAACGGGCCCAGCATTTACGTCAGATTGTTTCCAGCTTAAACGAGGCCAAGTACACCCTAGATACTGTGCTTTCCATTGCCATAAAAAAAGACCTTCGCTGACCTAAACACTGGGCTAAAGGCCCTCAAAACGTCTCCCCGCGCCCCACGCGGCTCTCCGAGGCGCGGCCCGCGGTAGGCCTTGCCAGCATCGGAGCGCCGCTCCTCCGCCATTTTGTGCCTCTGGCTGCTCGCCCGGACCGCCAGCCCAAGATGGCTGCGGCGAGGCTTCGCAGGGAGCAACGGCGAAATAGGATACCGCTCCCCTCCCCCAACACCGAGGGGACACCGCGGCCATTTTTAATCTCTCTCCCCCCTCCTTATAACGGAAAAAACGGCCGTCTCGGGAACGGAGCCGCATAACCGGTTGGCGGCTTCCTTTTCGACCAAAGACACGTATACACAAAGGCTTTTTAAACGTTGTCACCTATCCCTCCTGGCTTCAGGCTTCGGGGCCTAATACGCCTCCGACTCCAGGCCGAGGCCGATGGGCCTAGAAAGAGATGCAAGAAGCTGGGACCACACAGCCACCCCCTACACCACCTATACGTACCCGCTCGCCGTAATTCTGCTCGCCGCTGTCGCTCATGACTCCTAGCTGACGTCGCTGCTCGCTGGGCTTCAGTCGAAGCTGCCAACCTCTTGCGCCTTCTCGATAGAGGCTCCGCCGCAGCCTCGCAGGACGCACGGGTTGCCGAGGCGCTCAGAGCCGAAACGCTCCGTACCACCTCCGCTCGGGCTCTAGCTCTGCCGGACGTGACGCGGCACTCCTTAACCCGGCTCCTCCCTCTCAAGAACGCGCGCTTTCTCGGCCCCGCCCCTCCGCGCCAGGCCCTCACAGCTCAGCGGAGGCGGGTTCCGAGCCGGATGTGACGTCGGCCCCGCCCTCTCGTGCTGCTCCACCCCTGTCTCTCCGCCTCTGTTGGGCGGGAAAGTGAGTGTGTCTCAAGGCCTCAGGGGTTGTAGCCTCGGGACACAGTGATGTCACCAGCCAGATCTGAATCGCTTCTGAAACTCTCCCAGGAGAACACTGAAGGTGGGAGTTGGGAGGAGAGAGTCACCATTTACCCCGCCCTTTATTCCTTTCTTCCGCCTGGTTTCCTGTCTCATTTTGTGTTTGCCATCATTGAAAGAGGCGGGAATCCATGCACTAGTTTCCTACTTTACTTTGAATGTAGCCCTTAGCAATTGGTTTTTCCTTCCTGAATAAACTTTTTTTAAAAACCTAATCTTTATACACAGGAATTAAACAAAGTCTCTGTTCTGAAAATAACAGTCGTCTAAAAAGGGAGAACACAATATTCACAAACTATCATTTTAAGTGCTAGAGCCAAGTACGACTACAATGGTGTCACAAGGTGGGAGAGTTAATTTTGCGTTGTGGTGAGCAGACCTTGACCTCCTTTGGGTTACTCTTTGGTGCGTAGCACAGTCGTTTTCAGGCTGTGCCTAAAACCTGAGTTTGCCATTAACTACTCCATTTACAGATTAGGTGCCGAGTGGAAATGACTAACCTTGTTTTTACAAGAAAACAACCACCCTTAAGGCACAAGTTGTTAAGTAATTATCACGCTAATAATAATGACCATCTGTGAACATCAAGTTAATCAGAAGCTTATAGATGCATAGGTGTATCAAACCCATATCTGGAGGAACAGACCCAGCTGGGGGATGGTGGGGCAACTCAGGAGGCTGAGGCAGGAGGATTGAGGCCAGTCTTAGCAATTTAGTGAGGTCCTAAGCAACTTAGTGAGATCGTGTATCCAAAAAAAAAAAAAGAGGCTGGGGATGAAAAGTGCCCCTGGGTTAAATCCCCAGTACAAACAAAAAGAAGAAAAGAAAAAACTAAAACCATAAGTTTATTAAACACACCAGACACCAAATGATACAAACCCCTCACTCAAGACCTGTAAAAGGAGGAGCGCCCCAAGAATGGACATGGTGGCACCTTGACCCTGTCACATGGTCATTCATCATATCTTGCCTAGGAAAATTGCCAGAGCAACAAACCTCTGAATCTCTGTTTTCAGGCTTTAGAAGAGTATGTTTTTTTCTTGCCTGTGACAACCATATAAGTCCCACTCCAAGCTGATATCTCAAGCTGACACTGTGAAACTATTGTCCTTCCAGAACTTCCAGACTAGAATAAGTTCCTGTGCTTTGACAGCTCTGCTCCCTGAACAAGCTCTTTGGTTGGTAATCTTATTTGACCATTTATAGTGACTTTTTAAAAATGTTTTAGTTATAGATGGACACAATATCTTTATTTTACTTATATGTGGTAATTGAGGATCCAACCCAGTGCCTCACACAAGCTAGGCAAGTGCTCTACCTCTGAGCTACAACCCCTGCCCCTGACCACTTATAGTGACTTTTTACATTTGTATCTGTTCTCTGCCTTTGCTCTCAGGTCAGCCTCCTGAACCCCTATAGCTGCCCTAACCCTTTCATAGCTTTTCTGTAATATATGTGTAATATATGTCTCTCTATATGCAATATATATACACATATGCATACATATATATAACTATGTAAAGTATGATATGTGACTTGAGTGTTATAAATATTAGAAATTCATTGGCTATGACTACCAGGTGATCCACAAGCATTCAGTGAACTGCCACAGATAAAAGTGGTGTAGCCTGTAAATTTATTGCTATTCAATACATTCTGACATCAAGACACAAGGTGTTTGGTCTATGTTAATGACATAGCACACCCAGTACAGCCATTGCCCCAAAGCATATATTGGGTTTAGTGGGAAGAGCCCAGTTTTGGAAGTAGGTACCTGATCTCAGCTTCTGCACTTTAGTGATCCCCATCCATTAAAAGAAAAGAAAAGAAAAAAGGCTGATAAGGTACTTTAATACTTATTTGTAAAGAGCATTTGAACTTGTAAGAAGAAAAGCAAAAATTTATTAAGATATAACTCACACAAAGAAACAAAAAAAATTAAGAAAGATGTAACTTACCATGCAATTCCCCCCATTTAAAGTCTATAGATCATGGTTTTTAGTATATTACAGAATTGTACAACCATCATCAAAATCAATTTTACAATAGTCTCAAACACTGAAGTCTGTACTCAAGTAGTCATTTTCTATCCCCCTCAATACTTACATCCCTGGGGAAACTTCTCTGTAGATTTTCTTTTTTTATTTTTATTGTTTCTTTTAATTATACATAACAGCAGAATTCATTTTGATATGATTGTACAAGCATGAGTTTTATTGTATGCAGTTAGGACCCCATTCTTATGAATGTAAGTGATGATGGGATTCACTATAGTATATTCATATAAGTACATAGAAAAATTATTTTGGATTAATTTCACTGTCTTTCCTTTTCCTATTCCCTTCATTTCCCTTTGCCTAGTCTACTGAATATCTATTTTCTCCCCTTTTTGTGTGTTAGCTTCCACATATCAGATAAAATTTGACCTTTGGTGTTCTAGGGATTGGCTTATCTCATTTAGCATGGTAGTTTCCAGGACCATCCATGTACTTGCAAATGTCTTTATGGCTGAGCAATATTCCATTCTATATATGTATCACAATTTCTTCATCCATTCATCTATTGAAAGGCATCTAGGGTTGGTTCCATAGCTTAGCTATTGTGTATTGAGCTGATATAAACATTGATGTGGCTGTGTCACTGTAGTATGCTGAATTTAAATCATTTGGATATAATGAGGAGTGGGATAGTTGGGTCAAATGGTGGTTCCATTCCTAGTTTTTTGAGGAATCTCTATACTGCTTTCCAGAGTGGTTTTCTCAATTTGCAGTCCCACTAGCAGTGTTTATATAGATTTTCTCTATAGATTTACCTATTCTAGACATTTCCTATAAATGGCAATTTGAGTTCCTTGTAACTGGCTTTATTGACTCAGTATGTTTTCAAGATTCATCCATATTGTAGAATGTGCCAGTAAGTCATTCCTTTTTATTCTTGAATTATATTCCGTTATGTGAATATGTTCCATTTTATTTATTCATTCATCTTTTAATAGACTTTTGGATAGTTTCCACTTGTTAGCTAGTATAAATAATGCTGCTATGAACATTCATGTATAAGTTTTTGTATGAGCATGTTTTCACTCTGGAGTATACATCTAGCAGTGGAATTGTTAGTGTAACCAAACACAATAGTTTTACCCCTTGGTGAGTGCAAAGGAACTGCTAAACTGTTTTCCACAGAAGTTATCATTCATTTTTCATTTTACCCTGCAGTGTATGAAGCTTCCAACTTCTTCAAGTCTCACCAGTACTAGTTGTTTTGCACTTTATAATTTATATGTATATATTTGTACATATATATCCATACATACACACACACATCCCTATCTCCATCCTAATGAATGTGAAATGCTATCTCATTGTGGTTTTCATTTGCATTTCTCTAATAACAATAATGATTATCTTTTCATGTGTTTATTGGCTATTTGTAAATCTTCTTTGGAGAAATGTCTATTCTGATACTTGCCTAATTTTAAATGGGTTACTTATCTTTTTATTATTGAGTTATAAAAGTTGACAACTTGATTCTGGCTTGGTCATCTGGAACAGTATCAGTATTTAAGGTATATGAGAACCAGAGATTTTGTGATGACTCAAGGTGACAGTTGTCCTCTCTTCTTACATATTTTACAGAGCACACCTTATCTACTTTCAGTTTTAATTAGGGACCTATTTCCTTTGGTTTATATTTATATTTACAACTTTGAACACCCTCCTCAAATTCATGCTTAATTCCAGTTGTCACCGAGCATGGTGGCACACACCTTTAATCCCAGCAACTCAGGAGGCTAAGACAGGAAGATCACAAGTTCTAGGTAAACCTGGGCAACTTAATGAGTCCCTGTCTCAAAGTAAAAAGTTTTTAAAAAGGCTGTACATAGTAGTAGAACACTCACCTAGAATGCACAGACCATAGATTCAATCCCTGGTACCAAAAGAAAGAAAGAAAGAAAAAAAAAATCCTGTTACCTGTTGGAATATTTACCTGGACATTTTAGAGGCTTCTAAAAATTAACTTGTTCAAAATTAAACTCTTTTTCCCCCTCTGATACTGAGGATTGAACCCAGGTTTCATTAACTACCAACTATAGAGTCACATCTCCAACCCTATTTATTTATTTAGCAGCAAGGTTTCGCTGAGTTGCTCATGGCCTTGCTAAATTGCTGAGGCTGGCTTTGAACTCATGATCCTCCTGCCTCAGCCTCCCAAGCAGCTGAGATTACAGGTGTGTGTCACCGTGCCTGGCTCAGCACTTTTTTGTTGTTGTTGTTAGTTTGTTTTATTTAATTTTTATTTTGTTGATACAGAGGATTGAACCCAGCTTTACCACTAAGCCACATCCCCAGCCCTATTTATTTTTATTTGGAGACAGAGTCTCACTAAGTCCTTAGGACCTGACTAAGTTGCTGAGGCTGGTCTCAAATTTATGAATCTCCTGCCTCAGCCTTCTTAGTTGCTGGGATTACAGGCCAGCTCCTTGTTTTGGTTCTTTGAAATAGGGTCTCCCTAAATTGCCCAGAATGGTCTGGAACTTGTGATTCTGTTGTCTCAGATTGGCAGGGATTGTAGATCTTTACCCTGCAGCGCAGTCCAGAAAATTCATGGTTTTAAATTTACTCCACCTGTGCCCTCCAAAAGTCTCTGCTTGAAACATTCTTCAACATTCCCTTCCTTATCTAATTGGTTAACACAGGTCATGTTTTTAAAATTTGGGTTTCCCTCTTCCATCTCTCATTTATCTGTG